GATAAGCTAAATCAAATAAAGATCTTAATTAATTTTGATTTATACAAACATGAAGAAGCCTAATTGAGTAAAAATACGGAAAATCAAATATATGATATAATTCAAATGTACTTAATCTCATCAGTAAAGGCATCTCCATTTATTAAAAAGCCGGCGACCTTATACTCACCAATTTACTAGGGAAGTCTTCTTTTTCTGCCAATTTGTCATGGCAGATGCCTTGACTCCAAATGCTGCATAATTCTTTTAACGAACACGTGCTGCTTATGTCATAGTAAAAATTATTATCTTCATCACTTAAAATGTCCAGGATTTCTACGAAAAATCCCTGAATAAAACCGTCTCCTTTAGAGTAACTATCAGGAGACTTGTCTGTTTGGACACCAATAGATGACATATTAAATATTCCTTATGTTAAGTCACGTATAAATGATTCCTATGCCAGAATAGCATTGGCCAGACATATTAATTCATACATTCATGACCTTAATGGTAAAATATTTTTTATTAAATATAAATTATCCGAATTTCATTAAGGGTGTTATTTATGTGTTGAATATTGATTAAGAATCATAGAAACCCATTGACAGTAATTAGTCTCAATGTAGTCATTAAAATAAAATTAAGAATTAAGCTTTATTTTAAATTTAAATATAAAATTTAACTTAATTTTATTAGGTTCTAATGTTTTAATTGGTCTGCATCCGCCAAACTCCCTCCCGATCCGGTTCTCCTCCCTCCCTTTGTAAGTAAACTATCAACACTCACTTTTTCAGTTACCATGTCTAATTCTACTACTTTGTATAGATCCTAGCAATGCGTTCAGGTGGTGATACTAAGGAGGATCGAGATAAGAAACTCTTTGTTGGCGGGCTTAATCCTAAGACTGATGAAAATTCCTTACGAGAGTACTACAGTCAGTGGGGGGAGATAATTGATGTTGTAGTTATGAAAGATCCCCGTACTCAGAAGTCAAGGGGCTTCGGCTTCGTAACATTCAAAGAGTCGACAGCCGTTGACGCAGCACAGAGTTCTCGTCCCCACAACATAGATGGGAAAGACGTTGATTCTAAGCGCGCCATGCCTCGTGACGAAACTGGTCCAGAAGCTCATGCCACTGTCACTAAGATATTCGTTGGTGGCTTGCCCAAGGAAGTCACGAATGACGAATTGAATGCATACTTCTCCCATTTTGGCAAAGTCAGCGAGGCCCAGGTCGTCATTAAGAAGGATACTAATGTCCCAAGAGGCTTTGCCTTCGTCACATTTGAGGACCATGATAGTGTTGACAAGGTTATATTGAACAAACCTCATCAGTTAAGAGATCGTAAAATCGATGTTCGTAAGGCACTCAGCAGAGAGGAACTTCAGAAGGTTCGCAGTAAAACACAGCCTGGCACCTATAATCAAGGGTGGACTAATGGTACTGATATAGTATGATCTTTATTGCTCTAATTTAGGTGCTGTCGGTTACCAACAGGGCTGGGATGGAAGCTATAATCAGGCCTACGGCGTGCAAGGTTATGCATATAATGGAACTGGATATGGTGAGTTTGTGCCTTTATCTCAATACCTTAATAGGCTTTGGATACGAAAACCCTGTAGTACAAGCTGGTTGGAGTGGCCAGACTGAAGGCGGCTTTGGAAGCTATCAACAGCAGGATTATGCTGGCGGCCCTATAAGAAGCGGTGCTCAATACACCCGACCTGCTCCTTACCAAGGAAATACTTGGCAGCAACGCTAATTTCCTATCGGTGAGTGCGGAACAGCTTTTAATGGCCCTCAACACAAAATGCATTTCGCTTACTTTTTATCTGTTAAAATATATACAGTAACTTGAATCTTAGTCTTCTATGTCAGGCTTTGCCTAATTGTTTGGGTTGAGGAGGCTTAACTCCAGTTTCATTGGGCAGGTGGTGTTTGGCTTTAGGCTTTCTTCGTCCAGATTTACATCTTTTGATTATCGCACAGGTGGGCGAATGGTTATGACTCACGGATTGTCGACGGCCAACATCGTCAATTATTCTCGGTGGACGTCCCATTTCAAAGGTAAAAAAA